GCCTAACCTCCAGGCGCCCAGGTGGAGCGCGCCGCTGGGGGCGAGCGCCCCGAGGTGGGCAGACCCGCCGAGCAGCCGAGCCCCGGCGCGGCCTACACTCCAGGCGCCCAGCGCGCCGCGCGCCCCTCGGCAGCTGTGCGGGTGAGATGCGCGCGCCTCGCGTAGCCGCATGGATGAGCAGACGACGGCGATGGCCAGGGGAAGAGGAGCTGCATTGGCAAGCTTCAAGCCTCCACCGCCGCCCTGCGTGGCGACCGGGAGCACGTGGGAGAGCGGGCGCGCTGTGCATAGCTCAACAACGGCCGCAGAGCGACGTCGGGCAGTTCTACTGTACCAGACTCTATTATACGCCGGTGCGGCTGGTGAGGTGCAGTTTGCAAAAGTCGATCGTCGCTGTCCGTCCGTTTGTCTGGCGTCCACGCCTCGCAGCGCTGTGCGTCAAAAGGAAGCCTGCCTGATACATGACGTCAGCTCTGACTAACTCCCATGCAAAAGGATGTCGAGAAAATAGAGAGGAACGGGAGGGAGGGGCACAAGTAGGGAGCCTGGAGGGGGGAGAGTCGCAGAGACCACGTGACCGAGGACCCGGCGGGTTCAAACGCGTTCTTGAGGTCTGTGAAATGTGTCATACCTGGAGGGCCATTACGGAGCTCCCCCACTACGGTTCGCCTGCGCCTTCTAAACGCCCTGAAACAGGGTGAGGGGGGTAGAGGGGGGCAATTAGAAGGCGCAGGCGAATCGCAGTGAGGGAGCTCCGTAATCCCCCTCCAGGCTGACGCGCACGCGCAGTCCGAGCTAGCAGACGATCAGGCCGGACCCACCGGTGCAGGCTCGGCAGGTATGAGACATTGTGATGGACCTCGCCAAAACACATTGGAAACCGAACCAATCACAGCGCAGCACGTGATCTCTGCGACCCCCCCCCCCAGCCAGTGGCGAGCAATGCATTAGTGCATTTCATTTGCCCGGCAACTTGCGAGGGGCCGCCTCCGTATTCCCCAGTTGGGTGCGGACCGGCGGACCGTCCCGAGCAGCGACACTGCAGTACTACACGCTGGTGCTGGTGACTTCACAGCTTTGGATACTTTGGTGTAGATGTAAGTACTTACTTGAACTTGAACATTAAAAACACAGGCAGAGAGTCAGTTTAGCAAATGTCTTTGACAAATAAAGTTAGTATTACCTATCGTTCTTCATTTGTGCTAGTGAGTAGGGCGCGCCCGGGGAGAAGAGGTGGGCAGGCTAGCCTTGGTCACGGAAAAAAAGTTGTCGAGGTTCGAGTCTCTTTTTAAAGAGAAACCCTTGCCGTGACTTTTGGTCATAGTCCTGTTGTAGGACAGCGAAGGGCGATTGACCGCCAAAGTGCAAGCGCTGCAGAATGCCGGCGCGGCGGGGATTAACTAATAGTTCGGTAATGTAACCATTAAGGTATGCACCCACTTAGGCACCCTTTAGCAATGTACAGCAGATCAGTATTTAGGGGTAGGGCAAGGGTATTTGGCATAAACCCAATAAATAATACTTAAGTAATAACTAACCATGGTGAAACTAGTAACTTATCAGACACACCCTAGAACCCCCAAAGAACCAATCATTTCAATACTAAAACATTGGTGCATCGGCCGGACGATCCCTTAGCTTGTCCCGTGGCAGTAATTTATTTTGAACCACCTTAAAGTTGCATTGTTTTATTTAAATTTTAAGTTTGCGTCTCAATGCTGCCATGTGCTTCTGTCGATTGGTACTTATTAACTTTTCCTTTGTGTTCCTAGTATTGATTTTATTTCCATGTGTTCTGCAAGAGTTTCCGATTATTTCTAGATGCTATTTTTGATCGTAGCTTAATTTTGAGACGCCAAAATGACGATTATTTTAAAATTCCAAGATGGCGCCGAACACGTTGTGATCGCCGCTAAGATTGGCAGCCATGTTTCGGAAATGCACGTACCGGAAAAGATGCGTTGACCGGATGTTTATTTCTTTTCATGGGCGCAGCCATCTTGAAGGGGCGTCATGTGACAGAGAAAAGTTCATGGGCGCGGCCATTTTGTCCTATAGCAGAATGTTTCTGGACTTTGGTGCTGGAGATGGTCATGCCTTAAGCAGTATTGTGCCTTGTTGCTGTGTACGCAACGAAAGGTTTCATTCATTAAATTATAAAAAGTT